TCTTTATCTTGTCAGATAGGTTCCATGTACTTCGAATCCATTTTCGGGTCAGTTCCACGTATTTCGAATCGATTTCACATACTTTTAGATCTAAATTGTGAGTTTTGGATCCTTTTTTACCCAAGAACCTGCAAAATTACCCAAACATACAACCATTACCATTTTAAAACTGAAATAACCAAGAGGTTCAAGACAAAAATGATTTGTAAACATGCAGTACACCAAAGTTTCAAGTGATATCTATCTTTTTCTAGTAGTTAAAACTTCAAAACATAGATAAAAAACATAAAACCTGATCAATTCACCGATCAAAACACACATAAAAACAGAGACCATACTCTTAAAGTATCAAAGATAAAACAACAGAGATCATTAATCCAAAAACATAAAAAAAAATAAAAGCCGGCTTCAATTGCATTTCCATCATGCTAGCTGCATCTCCAAACTCCAACATCCAAAGAATCCAAACATCATCTGAAGTCTAAACATTAGCAATAAGAATGATAATCGAGACCACAAGATGGGTTCAAATTCTACAAAACTAATATGAGCACAAAACTCTTACACTGAGAGATCGATTTTATTTTGATGTGGAAGTATCCAATCCAGATTCACTCATTGTTAGATGTTGGGTTGGTGGATGTCTCTGGAGAGTTCGTGCTTCAACACAAGAGGATTCCCCTACATTCTATGTTCGTATTTACGATTCGGAATATCCATGTTCAGTAACTGAGCGTTCTAATCGATCTCGACAATCAACACCAGATATTTTAGGAAAATTGTACAGGGACTTTCTCGGCGGCGTTGGTTCGGCCGTTCGACCTACGAGTGTTGAAATAGCTCTTAATAAACAGTTTGGTCTCAAGGTAATTATTTTAGTAAGGTTGACTTAAATCAACATTACGGCTGAGTTATATCTACACTTTGTGGCTGACTTATTGTAACACTCGCATTTTCCAAAATAATAAAATAAATAAAACTGTCTGAAATTTCCATTTATTAAATCGCATAAATCATCTCCAAACTCCATAAATCCAAATAACATAATAAATCTCAAAACAACGATAAAAATAAGTCTGAAAATAGATAAATAAAACTCACAAAAGCACCAGTCTGAAATGATCACTCCTAATCGTCAGTATCACCTGAAATGGGGGAAGAAAGAGGGGTGAATAACAGGGGAGTCACTCAGTGAGGTATAACCACGCAAAACACTGACTTGAGTAAATAGAACTCCCACTATGGAAGTTTAGCTCTAACATGAACAATCAAGACACCTAAGGCATCACATAGAACAACCAATGTGCTGATAGTGCATAGCTAGACCACACACCCCGCATCTCTATATATGGATATACATCATACGCTGCGTCGCTAGTACAATATGTCTCTGTACCCCCGCCCTCCAAATCTGCGTCGAATGCAAAAGTCTCTGCACCGCACACCACACAGTTTCGTCGCTAGCCCAGACGTCTCTGAGCCCCCGCCCTCCAAAGTTGCATCGATAGTCCAGGCATCCCTGAACCCCTGCCCTCCCACATAGTCCCTACTCATAACTATGTATGTACATATATATATCATCTCTCAACACCACACAGTCCAATCAACGGTTGAATCCTCTAGACCCCTAGTTCCAATTTACAATGAATGAACTAACTAGCAATCAAGACTCAAACAGACTCAATTCACACAGACGGATCATGCTTCGAAATCTAAACTACGATATGAAGAATTCTATACTGGCACGGGAGTTACGGATTAGACCCTCACCTTAGCAAATGTGAAAAGGTTGTAGCTGTGAACTCATGGTGCTAAAACAGACTCCAAATCTGAAATCAGGGCGAAAAATCGAGTCAGAACGCCCTTCGAACGGTTAAAAACGGATAACCGGTGATTTGGTCAAAAAGTGAACTCGCTGGTCAAAGGTCAACCTGGTCAACTCTGACCCAAGCCAGTCAACCCTTGACCAGATTGAAATCGAATTGAACCGCCAGTTTTCCTTAACTGAATTCGATTTCAATTGGACCAGAATCAAATCAATTTCAATCCGGTTTAATCTCAAACCAAAATCAATTCAATTAAACCGACCGATTAACCTAACCAAAACCAAATCAAATCAACAAACCAACCGGTTGGACTGGTCAACGAGTTGACTCGCTGAGTCAACTCGGCCGAGTCACCGAGTTACCGGTGAGTCGACCGGCGAGTCACCGGTGACCGGCGCCGGCGGATTCTCGGCGGAGAACGAACGGTGGTCGGAGACGGCGGCTCCGGCGAACAGCGGTGGAAGACGACGGCGCGTGGACATCACGCGCGGCGGCGGCGGCTGACTGCGATGGCGCGTGAGATTCACGCGCCAAACTTCTCCCTGCGCGTGAGGGCGCGTCGCGGTGGCTCTGCGGCTGGGCTTGGTCCTCCGGGATCGTCTCGGCGAGAGGAACACACTAATGGCCTTAGACTTGCGAAACAACAAGCGGTTAGAGATATAAGATCGGTTTAATATTCGGACAAAATAAAACCTAAGTGACAGCGGCCGGCGGTGATACCTGCGGTGGTCAACGGCGGTTCACTAGGTGATCTCGACGGTGACGATGGCTGGACGATCTCAACTCTTGACGACGGCTCGGTTTCTGCAGAGATTCGATGCTTTAGACTTTTCTGAATAAAATAAGGAGGCTATGGGTGTTTAAATAGGATCTCACCTAGGATTCTCTGCGTTGGGCCTGAATCTTGCTGGGTCTCAGAACTTGGATCGTTACACTTATATTAACGTCCGGCTGAGTTATATAAACTTCAACGTTGCGGCTGATTTAGTTAAATTATTGGGCTGGGTTGTTTATACGTTACGGCTGAGTTAGTTAAGTTATCCGACTGAGTTATTTAAATGTTCTGGCTGAGATAGTTAAGTGATTCGGCTGAGTTATTAATACGTTCTGGCTGAGATAGTTAAGTGATTCGGCTGAGTTATTAATACGTTCTGGTTGAGATAGTTAAGTGATTGGGCTGAGTTATTAATACGTTCTGGCTGAATTAGTTAAGTGATTCGGCTGAGTTATTAATACGTTGCGACTGACCTTATTTGTATTCATTTAGGTAGATGAATTATTGTAAATCATATAGGATTCTGAAATTTGCAAGGGAAATCGATGAGGGAACACCTGAGGGTGGGTTTGAAAACTTGTCTTCTTACTTATACATGATAAGAAGGGCAAATCCTAATACAATAACTCGTCTTCAAATCGATGAGTTTGGAAGATTTATATGTGTTCCTTGCATTTTGGTGCGAGCATAAATGGGTTTTCTTTCATGCGCAAAGTTGTGGCTGTCGATGGTACGTTTCTTAATGGCAAATACGAAGGGACGTTTTTAATAGCACTAGCTTAGGATGGTATAACTATGATGCCAGCATCCAACGATATTCTATTTGCCTTGGATTCCGTCAAAGTGTAGTAGTTGTGGCCATCTGGGTCATAAAACTTCTCATTGCCTTGGTATCTCTAATTCTGTACCAGCTGCAAGAACACTCCCTAATATCCCAACCTCTGACCCTCCCTGTAATACAGAGGCTGTTGCTTCTATTGGATCTATAACCTCTGTTGCGGATACTGCTATATTGCAATGGCTACGGCTGTGTGACTCTGTCTGCTGAAACTTGTGTTTCTGTTGCTACCAATGCCTCACAAGGGATTACTACTGCAATTCCAGAATCTAATGAAGTAGTGCAAGGTATGTATTACATCATTGTTTCCATAGTTAGAAGTTTCACATGATTCTGAGGTTAATTCCCTATGGTTTTTTCTCAATGGTTTTTTTCCATTTCACCTCCAAATATTTATAATTTGCTTATCTAGAGGGTTGTCTTCCTCTTTAGAGCATCTCCAAAAGAAACTCTATAACTTCAAATATAGAGTTTTTTGCTCTCCAAAAAGAAACCTCAAAACTTCAAATTTGAAGTTTTTAAGAGTGAAACTCTATATTTGAAGTTTCAATACTCAAAACTCTAAATTTGAAGTTTCATCTTTTTAATTGCATTTTGGTCCTTACAATTACAAATAAAAATTAGAATTTATAAATTTTTTTTTTGTTTATTGTTTTAATCCATAATTTTTTTTTAAAATCTCATAAATATTTCAAATTAAAATTTACCTTTTATAAATTTAAGTTTAGACATAAAACTAAATAAATATTTCTAATAAATTTTAAAATAGTTACTTGTAGTTTAGTATTTTTAAATATTTTAAAATTAAAACTAGACAACAAAAATGTGGTATTGTATTTGTAATAATCATGTATTTGTATTTATAATTTTATATTTTAGTGTAAGATTTTATTAATTAATATTCTTGTATAATTTATATATATATATATGTATGTTATTTATCAATGTTTTATGAATTTATATTCACTATGACAAATATAAGGATCAAAATGTAAAATAGAAATAATTTTGAAGTTAAATTTGAAGTTTTTCTTTTGTAGAAGAACACCTTGAAACTTCAAATATAGAGTTTTGAAAACTTTAAAATAGAGAGTCTTTTTGGAGAGCTCTTATCTTGATGCTCGTCCGTGGTATAAGTGCTCATGTTGCTATCGCTCAAGCTTTAAAACAGGCATTAACATATACCTTTCTCCAGTTCCTAAAAAGGGTTTTTCTAATTTACCACATTTTGTTCAGGCACATAGAAATAACTTTGTCTTTAAGTAACCTAAATTAAACCGTCTGTTCACAAAAACCATGGAATACAAGGCTGCAGATGTTAACAGAACATGACTTCTTTACCCAAAAGTCAAAACAACATCACAAAAAAACAAGATACACCAGAACACCAAACAAAAAATCCAAATGCTTAAGACTGAAGTGATCCTTAACTGAAAGATTCTCCGAGTTGTATATATATATAAATGATCCTCTAAGTTACTTGTGTTTTTTAATACTGTCATTTTTAAACAACTTGTAGAGAGGAAAACTTGCTAAGCGAGCAATAGGAAGAAACCATCACCAGTTTGTCTGGAACGTTTTGAGGAACTTTGGTTTACTATGTTTAGGAGATATCGGGCTTGCCTTCTCCATCCAGATGGCAAAGATTTATAGTCGGCGACTTCAAGAAACAGAAACAGATAGCCAACGTTATTACCCTTGGGAAAGGCATTAAGGCGCCTGCACGAACCAAAGAATCAGCTTTACACTACTGTAGAGTATTTAACCTAAAATCTACATGGACGAAAACACTTGAAACCCTTTTACCATTTGCATCCACCGGCTACAAATGGATCAGAATAAAGTTCCTCACATCGTAAAGAGGAGAAATTCTTAATCGTCCAAGTGATCTTCTTCCTTAAATTCTTCACCATGATTCCTCTGCATGCAATCAACTAGCGAAACTACTCTACTAAGTTGAATCAGGAAGAACATAATATTTTTTACAAGTTATCGGCGTTCTTCAGTATTGATAGTGAGAAACCAGAGGATCAATGCGTAGCGTAGTTGAGATTCAAACAAATATACATGCAGAAAAAAAAAATATTACGGAGCCAAAAGGAGAGTTCCACAAATTCACGATGGTATAGCTACTTTAAGAAGAAAACATATGCATCTTGAAAAGAGGTGCAGGAATATGAATAGCCTTGGCTCATCGTGAAGGACTCTTCAAGTGCCTATTTTCTCTCAGCAATAAACGAATAAAAATATGGGAAAATGATCATTTAATATTTTAATCCCTCAACAATTTGAAATTAATATTCCCCAACTTTTGAGTATGCAACATAATCCCTCAAGTGTATGTTGACTTAACAAAATTAGACGCTTAAAAAGTCCACGTTAAATACTTAACCGGTATCGTTAGTCTAATCTCTTTTATTAGTCCCTTTTTAACATTTAAACCCAAGTGTACCTCTTCTCAACTTGGTCAACCATTAAACCCTAGAAAACCAAGTTCGTGAAAATTGGTCTCTATCGCTCTCTCCAGTGGACTTCAAAGAGGGTGATCATGAATTAGGGTTGAAAAGAAAGAGTTTTAAACAGTACAAATTCAAATGAGAAACAAACCAATCTTAATTCAAATCAAACCGGATTACATGTAAAAAAGTTCAAAAATTTACAGGACTCACTCAAATCCTATTCCTAATTAACTCAGAAGTACACCACAAGCCTTAGATACAATAGATATGAAATAATTTTAATGATTAAACAATGTCATCAAAGGAGATAGAAGCTCTGGTGGCTGAAAACTTTGCCCTCTCAGCATCCAACTTGCGCTACAAGTGATGTAGATGTGCCTCAATTTCTTGAACTCAGGCTTCACAAATGGTCGTAGGTTGTGTATTTAGGTTTGAGACTTGGTAAGAATACAAAAATGCAGAGAAACGGAAATGGATTTGGTTATGTCCAGGAAGAAAGCTATGATATTATTTAGGGTTGAAAGGAAAGAACAAAGACATTATTAAGTTCAACAATTGGCCCTGCAAGAGGACTTATTTTTTAAAGCACAAAAAGCTCACTAACTTATTTTTGAAAGTACAAAAAACTCAAAAGCCTCGATAGTTTCTCCTGTTATTCTGAGCCAACTCTCCCAAGAAACTCAAGATTAGGAGAAAGATGAAAATCCGGAAAGCAGTCCAACGTTTTTTCTTTGGAAGGGGTTTCACAGAGTGTTCAGCCTGCAAAGAGAAACACATGTATCTGAAAATCAGTCTTTGGAGACCTGAAAACAGAAACTGTCTCAGTTCTTTCCTTGAAAATAAACATCTCTTCAAAAAAATACCTGTTTAGTAACATTGGCATTGGTCCCAAGTGAAGTTTTCTTGAGCAGGTCACTAGACTCAGCAGCCACATCATTCACTGTGCCAATCACTTAAAAGACATCCAACTCCGCAACAATCACAACTTGTTCGTTCACAAGAAACCCACCATTATTCTCATGAAGTTTGAAAAGAGGAAGCATTGCTGGAAAACCCCAAGTTGTAGACTTTCCATCAAAACAGTGCTCTGTTTCTGCAACATTTCAAACAAATAGTTTAAAGTAATATCTAATGCGTGAACAACAAGAAAAATTCAAAGGCTGATCCCAAAAACAAACCTAACGCACTCTTGATCAAAATAGAAAAAAAATATTGCGTGAAAAACAAAAAAGGTTCAAGGCTGATCTTAAAACAACCAATACACACACTTCATTAAAATAGAACAAGAAACATTGCGTCAATAACATGAAAAGTTCAAGACTGATACAGTGATACCAAAACAACCACTACACACACTTGATCAAAATAGAACAAGAACATTGCGTGAACAACAAGAGAAGTTCAAGACTGATCCCAAAAACAAATACTACACTTGATCAAAATAAAGTTTCAAACTTAATCAAAAACTTATAATGATATAAGATTCAAAAACCTTGAATCACGGAGAGTTTTGGCGAAAGTTGATTCACTACAGTAAGTCTCAGTTTGACATATCTTCTCCATCCACAAGGCATTGATTCAATATCAGCAACGTCCAGATAAAGAGACAAGTAGTCACCATTGTTTCCTTTGGGAAATGCAAAAAGACGCCTGCAGTAAAACAGAAGAAGCAGAATCACTAATACTATAAATTATATCACCAAGATCTATATATAGACCTAGGACGAGAGGGTCAACATTTATACCATTTGCAGTCGTTGATCAAAACTGGATCAGAATAACACTTCTCAGATTTCAAAGAGGAGAAACCCTTTATTACCCAACCAAATTTCTTATCAACTGGATTCATCATTGCTTTTATGATGCAAGGATCCGGAGAGAACAAAACAACTTAGAGACTGAGTGTCACTTATATATATATGTGAAGAAGATGTAAGCATTTTAAATGACGTGTGGCGAATACGAACAGCCTTGACGCATCGTGACTTGATAAAACTCTGTCATCATCATTACTATAATTTTGGGTAATATAGATGAATATTAATGGAATCTCGCTAGAGCCAGCTAGCTTGACCATTTATTTTTCACTTTTATTTCAATATCAATGTTCTAAAAATCGAACTAGCTTGACCATCTGTTTTTAAATTACTAGTAGCGTTTTTAGGAACCTGCCTAGACGGTAAAACTGTCGGAAATGAAACCATTTTTCTAAAAATCGGTTCAGTCCTAGTAACTTTTTAAATATTATATCAAGAGTGATAAGCATGCTGCTCTTCAAGTGTTACTCTCTGCTCAATACTTCACAAAAAAAAAACCATGACAAAACTTTTTACATATGGCATATTCTCATTTCAAAATCTAGCTGATGAACTCCAACTCCAAGTGCCTATGAACTCTCCAAGTTCTCTAGGCACATCTACTTACTTTGGTTGTCAAGAAACTCAGTAACAGAACTAAGTTGTTAGAAAAAGAAAAAAACTGTGGCAATAATAAACTTTACCACAGAATTTCATAGTTGACCTCCTTAGAAAACCAATTAAGAAACTAAGATGTCAGAAAAAATCAAATGCCTAAGAAATCAAGTCATCAATCAAACAAGATCATCGAAAGACAGAGCAGTTCTTGTGGCTGACAACTCTGCCTTCTCATCCTCGGCAAGAACATCCAGCTCTGAACATTTCTGCTTCAGTTTCTGTAGATTTTCCTCAATTTCTTGGAGCCGAGCCAAACAAGACTGCTCTTTCTCCTTTTTGTCTTTTAGTTGGTCTAGCTTCTTCTCCAGCCATTCCACCTTAAACCCTGCATCTTTCAAGTATGTCAAAGCAATGTCTGCTTCCACAAGATCTTCATTGGAGAGCTTCTCAAGTGACTGGCATAACGTCTCGACTAAGCTGAGCAAGAAATTCATACATGCGTTCCTGAGATGTTGGTTCTTTGCGTTAAACTCCACAGCAATGTCTGGGTATCTTTCAAATATACGCTTCACAGATTTTACCTGTGACTGAAAATAAATATACAGAGCTAATGAGATAGAAAATGCTTCATAGATAATAGCAAGTCTCCATAAGTTGCATTATTAGATGATGTCCTTACCTGAGAAGACAAAACCTCAAACCCATTGACATCCGTTGTCTCCTTTACAGTTTGAAACTCCTTAATAATGTTCGCAGGTTCCCCTGGTAACAAAATAGCTGGCATAACGTCTAGTTCAGCGATGATGGTGATGTTGTGATCCATTAAATGCCACCAAACTTTGGAAAGAGGCAAGAACTCTTCAAAGCCCCAACTGTTATTCTCCGCATCGAAACAGCCTTGCCCTCCTGTCATGTCCAGAAAACAGAAGAGGAACAAAAAAAAAGAGATGTTTCAACAAGTGAAGTTAAAAAGATTCAAACTTTGCATAAGTTTACACCGCAAATACAGAGATTCTACAACATATAAAAGAAAAAAATCAGGACATACAACTTTAAAACATATGAGAAGTGATAGGAGCATAGAGATTAAAATTTGCATACTTCCTATAAATGAAAAGATAGTACATTCAATATCCCAAGAATTTATTAAACAACCAAGTGGTAGTAGTAGCTTGGTGTGCTAATAGTAGAGATTGGAGCATCAACACCTAATATCTTATAATTAATTAAGACTATTAGTTTGTGTAGTCATCATAGACATCCCCCATTTATCAAAAAAGAAAGAAAAAAAAAAGAATTTCTTAACTCAAGCAATGGGTGTATATGAAACAATACCTATTGTTTTGTTCGAATTACTCAAATACTGTTTCAAAAGAGTAAGGCTAAACTCCACGTCTCTTCTCCATCCTGGTGGCAACGTTCCAGGGGCAAGTTCCAGATACATGGACAAGTAGCCACCATCCGTATCTCTTTTGGGAATAGCAACAAGACGCCTGTAACAACAAAATTAAACAATATCAATCTAATTTTAAACTCCAGAATGCGGACGAGAACCTTTGTAATAGTTTCTTTATTTTACCAATCACAATCGGCGACCTTGAAGGGGGCAGAGTAGTGGCAGTCGTCATCTTGCAAACAGAATTTTTTGAAAACACAAGTGATTTTCTTCTTCGTATGCCCACTCATTGATATTGGTGAAGATTTAAAAGAGAAGAAGAGAATTGAGGAAGGAAGAGGTTTAGGGTTTAAGATCAATGGTTTGATTATGATTATAATTGATAACTAGGTGTTTTGCCCGCACATGCGGGCTTAGTTATATTTAAGTCAATTTAATAAATTATCAAAACAAATTATTATTTGCACCTAAATAATTCGAGCTAAAAAACTAAAATTTTTTAAATTGATAAATTTATTCACAAATTAAAAACATATCTATTTTTTCTTTAAAATTTTGATAAATCAAAAGTCTATTTCATTTATTCTTAATTGATAAAAAATATAGAAATTTATCTTTCAATTTGAAAAATTGAATCGATAAATATATATTCAAAAATTGATCTTAAAGAAAGAATAAAATTAGCTTAGATAATAANTTAAATTGATAAATTTATTCACAAATTAAAAACATATCTATTTTTTCTTTAAAATTTTGATAAATCAAAAGTCTATTTCATTTATTCTTAATTGATAAAAAATATAGAAATTTATCTTTCAATTTGAAAAATTGAATCGATAAATATATATTCAAAAATTGATCTTAAAGAAAGAATAAAATTAGCTTAGATAATAATAATACAATATATTTGAATTTATTTTTTTCAAACACGTATTTTCTTTATTTTTGAATGATCTTTTATTTTATATGATTAATTCATGTTTAAGGTTTAACGTGAGAGCTCCGTTGCGAAAAATCACTTCGCAAATAATAGTATAGATCTTCCACAAGACATTAGACTAGATTATAAAGCATCAACCAAGTAACCGTCCTTTTTGAGAATGGACCATAAGCCCAAAAACACCTAATCAAAAACTTTATAAACGGATAAGATATTGAGTCATTACGAATCTGCTAGGTCTTTGTTTTGCCTTACCTTACCTCAGTATGAGGTTCACTTACCTCAGCATGAGGTTGTTATTCGAAATTTCCCTTTGCGTTCATTACAATATATTTGTATGTTCGTAGTCTTCTCTGATGTTTCATGTTTACAACCCAAAAAGATTGGAGATGGATTTAAGAAAGCCAACCTTGGCTTCTTAGTTTCAGACTTGTTTGTCTGCCCGTGGTGGTTCTTGCAACTCCACACCCCTTTATGGTTGAGGATTTTCTTACAATTCCAAGGCTCATCAAGATGGTGCTTAATCACCTCTCTAGCCAAGCTTCTTGCTGCTCTCTATGCATTTGTTGCTGCAGCATGTTCGGGTAGCAGTTCAATCAGTGTATTGTCTGATTCCTGTGGCTTCATCTCACTCATTAGCACTCATGGTGTTTCACTGTTAAGTTGCTTGTGTGTTATGTTTGCTTTTATATGTTATTATGTTAATGCAGCGGTTTTCTTAGCTCATGTGGCTATGTTATTGTATCTGTTGAACAATTCCTCCATAGATGGAGTCTAGTTTTATTTATAAAAGTTGGTTTGAACCAGACCCGGCCCATAGCTTAGGACAGGAGCAGAGTAACAGATCTCACATTCCAATGAGGAGAAGTTCTTTATTACCCAAGCGAACTTCTTACCAACTTGCTTCCCCATTGACGTAATAAAGATTCCTCTAAATGAAAATACAAGACCTAGAGAAAAAAAAACCCTTCAGTCTGATTATCACACACAACCTCAGCAAGCTCAACAAAAATTATCTCTATATGTAACCCTAGTTTTCAAACAATACTTTAAACAACAAAAACTGACTAGTTTCCACGGCTAGGAATTTAACACTGTCCAAGAATCAGGAAGAATACAATTGGAATGACTCTCTGCTTTCATCAGCAGTGATTTGTTAGAATCTAAATGCATGTGCAGAAGCAGAAAGAATATAAACATGGGAGAGAAACTATGCTTACCTTACAAAATCTAAAAGGAAGTTGCAGAAAAGGAACGAGACAAAATCTGTGAGGGAAACTATGCTTATTTAGTTTTACAGAAAAGGAACGGGACAAAAGATAAGGGAGAGAAACTATGCTTACCTTACAAAATCTGTGAGGAAGTTGTGTCTAGTGAAGGGATACTATACATGAAGAAAAATGCAAGAATCTCGAATAGTGTGGGAGAATGCAAACAGATTTTGGTCATTCGTAAATTGATACTCTGCTATAATTACGAGTTGATGAAGTGTAAAACGGATGACTGTTGAGAAGTCTCTTTAGAGCCATTCCCTTGGAAGCGTCTTTTCGAGTGCCAATCTCTGTTAATATTCCCAAAGAGATCGCTTCATAATCACGAAACCTAAGGAGACCTTAAATAGAGCAACTTCCAACTCAAACTCCAGTTTGAAGAATCATAACAGATTAGAAAACAAAAAAAAAAACTCCAATTCTGCCTAGGAATTCAAGTCATCCAACAATATAGGAACATTGGTGGCTGACCTCGGCCTTCTGCTTAAAACATTGAAGTTCAATAAGGCAGAGAAAATGGAATTATGATCCAAAACTTAAAAAGTGGAGAGAGAGGGTTAATCACACGGTTAAATTTCACTACTGAATCGCAACAGCCAAAAGACTATGAACTTAGAGACTTGTTTCAAGACATCAAAATACCAAGATTCGCCCTAAAATTCTACAATAATCCCTCACATTATCACATATCAGCAAACAACATCATTGAACGAGAGAGGAGCTCTTGCCGCCAGAGCCTCAGTCTTTTCCATCTGCAGCTGAGTTTCAAGATTCAAGAACATCAGCTTCAGCTTCTGCAACTCTTCTTCCATTGTTTGCAGCCGAGCCCCACTACCCTTTTCCTTCTTCTTCTTCTCGGAAACCTCACTCAGCTTTATCTTCAGCCAATCCAATTTAAAACCGACATCAATCAGATCAGCCAGCGTGTCATTAGCATTACTTAGATCATCGTTAGAGAGTGTATGTGGTGACTGGCACAAAATCTCAATGAGGCTAAGGAGTTCATTCATGTAGGCTCTTCTGATCTCTTGGTTCTTTGGGCGGAAGCCTAATGCTATGTCTGGGTGTCTTTTGAATATATGGCTCACTGATTCTACCTGCAAAAGTGAGAACAATGTAAAACTGTATAGGAACAAGATTTTTTCAGTTACATCATCGTCGCCTGGATCCTCTATAGGCGCGTCATCATAATCAACATTAGAAACCTCAGTCTCAGATGCCACATTGTTACACCTCATACCACAGTTTCCTACTGTAAGAGATCCGTCTTTCAAGGAAATTGATTGGTTCAAGTGACTTTTTTCCCTAGTTCCATCATCAATTTGACCCTCTTCAGATCCATCATCATCTGATCCCTCTTCCAATGCATCATCATCATCTGAGCCCTCTTCAGATGCATCACCATCATCTGAGCCCACTTCAGTTGCACTACTACTACCACCATCAACATTCTCTTCAGATGCAACATCATCATCTGAGCACTCTTCAGATGCGTCTTCCTCATCAACATCCAAACCCTTTTCAGATGCACCATCATCATCATCATCATCATCTAAACCTTCTTTAAATGCATCAACACACGGAATCTCCAGAGAGACATCAAAGACTACTTTCTCTTGAGATGCAGATTTTCCAGCAGATACATCAGCAACTTGGCTTCCTACTTCATTGCAGCTCAGAGGTTCAATAATCTTCAGAGTTGGTACCACAACAAGTGGGAAAACGTGTAGTTCAGCGACAATAACAAGTTTGTCACCAACCAGAAACTTATTATCTCTGTAACGAACTGTTGAAAGGGGAATGAACTCTTTAAACCCCCAAGCGGCACTACTTGTATCGAACCACTGTTGCCCTTCTGCCATATACACAACAACAAAACAGGATAAAACAATATATATCTCATCAAATAGTGCAAAACATATACAAAGATTTTCAGGACATAGGAAAAAGAATGTCTTTGCATTGAAAAGACTCACCTAATTCTTTGGTCTCACTTCTCCAAAGCTTATTAACAAGACTGAGGCGAAACTTCAATTCTCTTCTCCATCCAGATGGTAAAGATTCAGGATTTACAATACCCAGAAAGAGAGATAAGTGTCTGCACTTCTCATATCCCTTGGGGTAAGCAATTATATGCCAATTGCAACCAGCGAAGACGAAAGGACGAGAGTAGGTAGGCTCGCCTTGCAAGTCTGAGAAGTTTTTCAAAACCCAAGTAAATCTCTTCTCAACTTGCTCACCCATTAAACCCTACAAACTGAATTTATTTGACAAAAAGTTCGTGAACAATGGAGGGATCTATCGCTCTTCTCCAGTGGACTCGAAGACAGTGACAGTATTTAGGGTTGTAAAGGGAAGAGTTTTCAAATTCAAATAAAGAAACAAACCAAAAAAATCCAAACCTTAAACCAAACAAACTAACGTATACCAAATTAAACCAAACCAACAGCAAACTAAACCAAACAAAAACAAATTATTTCTAATTAAACCAGACTAAAAAAAGAAATAAAGTTCAACAATTTGACTCCAAAAGAACTTATTGACCGACCAACTCTTAAGTCAATGACCTAGTGATCCAAAATTAGCCCGGATCGAATTTAAAAACATGGCTTAAATTCTTACTGGTGACTTCATTGAAAAGACATTATATAACCAAATAAGAACAAACTTCAAGTGTCCAAATGACTCTAGAATCATTCAATAAAATCATCAAATGAGATAGGAGTTTTTGCAGCCAGCCTCTCTGACTTCTCCTTCTCCAGCTGAGCTTCGAGATCTGAGCACCTCTGCTTCACATCTTTCAACTCTGTCTCAATCTCTTGGCTATGAATCTCACAATCCTTTGCTTTCTTCTTCATTTCTAAAACTTGAGAAATTTTCTTCTTCATCCAATCCAAGTTAAAACCAGCAACAGTCAAGGATTCCAGTGCATAATGCGCCTCGTCCAGATCATCCATGGGGAGCTCTTGAGGCGACTGACGTAGAGTATCAATCAGGCTAAGTAGCAAATTCATGTAACATGTCCTAATGTTAGGGCTCTCTAGATGGACTTGAGAAGCTGTCTCTGGGTGTTTTTCAAACATACGTCTCACGTATTCCACCTGAGAGTAAATACAAAGTAGTATATCTATATATTCAAAGAAGTATCGAGACACAAAAAAGCAACTTATTATACAAATTAAGCTCATTAGGTTTTTCACTTGTTGCTGACATTTCTACACAAAAATTTACGACATCCTTAAAATTATTACCTGCGAAGAAAGAAGATGAAACCCATTAAGCTCTACTTTGCCAATAATTTCAAGAAGATCAATCTCGACAGCAATCTTGAGCTCCCCATTTACCAGGAACCCGCTATCTTTGGCATTAATTTCACCAAGGGGAAGCATGGATGGAAAACCCCAGTCGGTGGACTTCTCATCAAACCAGTGTTGTAATTCTGTAAAACAACAAACCATTATTTATCTAATAAAAAGAATTACATGTAATATACTTATGTGGATATTGAACTCAGACAAAGACATTGAAACTAATATAAAAAAAAAAACTAAAACCACCCTTGAGCAACATATAATTCCAGTACGTAACAAAGAGACTAAGACGATGTAATGAAACCTAAAAGTTAGACTTAAAGATTTGTAAAATCTGAACATCTGAACAATAGAGGATGTGATAAGACATGTTGTAACTGTATACCGTTTCAACTCATTAATTCTTGTTTATGACATTGAAAATAATTTTGAGACATGAACCCTCTATCAAACGGAGCAGAACGGACAAAATATTTACCACGCTGATGCCGGGAGAGTGTCTCAGAAAGTTGATTTACAACAATGAGGCGATATCGTGCGTGTCTTCTCCATCCAGATGGCAATGATCCATAATCGGGGATTTCCAGATACAAGGACAGATAGTTATCAACCTTGTATCCTTTAGGATATGCAATAAGACGCCTGCAGGGAAAAAAATAAATAAAAGAATAAGGCAAAACTGTGGAGATTATCACTGGATGAATGAAAACATTTGAAAACCTTACCATTTGCAGCCACCGACGAAGAACATATCTGAAAGTGTTTTCTCAGATTGCAAAGAAGAGAAATTCTTTATCACCCAAGTGAACTTCTTGTCAACCTTATTCTCCATTGATCTCAGTTGATAAACGGAAACCCCTTGAACCCGAGTGACTCGACAAATTTTTTTTGGACTCATACATCTCGGGCCTTATATAACCAATAGAACTTTCATTGACTTCCCAATGTAAATATAACCAATTAATGATAGCCAATACGAGTATACTGATCAAGACTTATTGAGTTCCAAAGTAACATTAACTAACTGAATGCTATTCATCAAGACCAGGAATGAGAATCGTTTTCATTTCCTCTCAGGGTTACTTGGAATATGTGCATTCTTGGTTCCAAGATCAGTACAGTAAACGTATATATAGACACAGACAAATTATAATTAAAGAGTAGAAGACGAATGAACGATACTAGCTCATTGAGACTTGATACTTTTTCCATAATTACGAATTATTTAATGCTATTATCGAGTGATATTTATAGCTTGCGCGTCAAGCCACTTGTATAGACGTGACTCTTCTTGTTCCTGGCCGTTACTTTTCATCGAAGAACTCAAAAGCTTCAAGAAAAGTAGAGAGATTGTGAAAACTTCCGCCGTAATTCATCAGTGTCACAGTTAAAGAACAAGCAGACAAGAACATCAAGTAGTCAAGACATCAGATAATAACATCAATCAAGAGAGCAGACTTTTGGAACCTTAAAACCAAGCACAACAACATAATCCAATACAGTTTCTACTTATTTTGTCTTGCAAAACCAATATTGATGCAATTAATTATATATTCAAACACTGAAGAAAGACGAATAAACAAAACCAAACCAAATTCAAGCAATTATCAAACAAGCTTAAACCAATTTATATGAAATTTGTCTTTCCTTTACTTCAACCAGATTGCTCTTACTTCTTCTTTTCCTCACTTCAATAAGCTTCTTCACCAGTCAATCCACCTCCAGGCCAAAATCTTTCATTTGTAAGCTAGTGCTTTCTCTGCGTTTGCGGATGGTAGCAAAGAAACCAGACATGCCCTTATTGAAGCTCAGTAGACCCAATGACCCAGTAATCTAAAATAGCCGGGTTAATGTCCGGATGGATTTATAAACTTTCCTCAAAAATTGCAAAAATTCATTCTGAGCCAACTCTCCCAACAAAAGTAGGATTAGGACAAAGATGAAAATCCAAAATGCAATCAGCCAAAGTTTTTCTTTGGAGGGGGTTTTACAGAATGTTCAACCTGCAAGGAGAAACAGATGTACAAGAAACATCAATCTTTTGAGACCTGAAAACAGTAACCTGTTACAGTTCTATCTTTGAAAACAAACATCCCTTCAACTTTACTTTAGTTTTCATACCTGTTTAGTCCCATTGGCATTGTTCCTAGGAGAAGTTTCCTTGAGCAGATAATTAGACTCAGCATCTGTTTTTCACTTTTTAATATACAAAAGATATTAATTTATCGTCTACAGCTCTTTAAATTCAAGTACCTATGAACTCTCCGAGATCTCTTTTTCATGCACATCTATTTAGTTTGGTCTGTCAAGAAACTCAGTAAGAGAACAAAATTGTTAAAAGAAAAAAACGTTGTGGCAATAAACTTTACCACATAATGACATAGTTACCAAGGGCACCTCCTACTTAGAAAACCCATAGAGAACCTAAGATAGCAGAACACCAAAATGCCTAAGAAATCATCAAGTCATCAAATCAAACAAGAGCATCGAAAGACAGAGCAGTTCTGATGGCTGACAAATCTGCCTTCTCCTCCTCCGCAAGAGTCTGCACCTCTGAACACATTTGCTTCAGTTTCAGTAGAGTTTCATCCATCTCTTGGAGCCGAGCCAAACAAGACTTCTCTTTCTCCTTTTTGTTTTTTATTTGGTCTAGCTTCTTCTCCAGCCACTCCACCTTAAACCCTGCATCTTTCAAGTATGTCAGCGCTATGTCTGCTTCCACTAGATCTTCATTAGAGAGCTTCTCAAGAGATTGGCATAACGTCTCGATTAAGCTGAGCAGGAAATTCATACATGCGTTCCTGAGATGTTGGTTCTTTGCGTTAAACTCCACAGCAATGTCTGGGTATCTTTCAAATATACGCTTCACAGATTCTACCTGCGAGGTGATAACATACTTACAAAGCGTTTACGTGAAGGTAACAACAACACAAGTCTCCTTAAGTTGCATTATTACCTGAGAAGACAAAACCTCAAACCCATTGACATCCGTTGTCTCCTTTACAGGTTGAATTTCCTGAAGTGCAACATCCGAATCCTGGTTTGATGGGTTCTCAGTTTGTTGCTCCACTTGACGAGACACTTGGTCCGCCTGAGAACTGCTGACGGATGCATCATCAGATTGATTAAATCTCAGAGATGGTTCAATAATGTTCACAGGATTCTCTAGTGATATGTCTATATCAACTATGATAGTGAGTCTGCAATCATCCAGGTATCCCCAAACTTGGGAAAGAGGCAAGAACTCTTCAAAGACCCAACTGTTATTCTCTGCATCGAAACAGTCTTGCCCTCCTGTCATGTCCAGAAAACAGAACAAAAAAGATGTTTCAACAAATGATCTAACCTTTAAGATTCTACTAGATAGAGAAAAGACAAGAAATACAAGTTAATAATCATATCACAAGTGACAAGGAGCATAAATGCAGAGCAGTCACCTAATGTTTTGTTCAAATTAGGCAAACCCTTTTTCAGGAGAGTGAGGCTAAACTTCACGTCTCTTCTCCAACCTGGTGGCAGAGAGTCAGGGGCAAGATCGAGATACAAGGAGAAGTAGCCGCCACCATCCTTATCTCTTTTGGGAAAAGCAAGGAGATGCCTGCACAAAAACAATATCAAACTACACACAATGGACGAGAACATTTGTAATCATTTTTATACTTACCAATCGCAGCCAACCTTGAAGCGGGGAGAGTAGTGCCACACGTCATCTTGCAAACAGAATTTGAATACACAAGTGATTTGATTCTTCATATGTTCATCCATTAATATGGTGAAAGTTTAAAGCCAGAGAACGTTAAGTAGGAACAAGGAAACCTTATAAACTGATTTGGAAAACAAGTAAACGAATCGCACGCAACAAAGTTACAATGTTGTTTTGTCATTTCACGACATAAAAACCTAATCCCCAATTTAAGAAATAAAACCACGTTACTAGCCCTGCGACTTCGGTTTTCCGAAACCGAACCGAACCAAACCGTCGGTTTTTGGTTTTTCGAAAATTTTGAGATCAATTCCAAAAATAACCGAATTTTAGTTCGGTTTGGTTCGGAAATCGGGTTTTTTTGGTTTTCAGTTTTCAAACCGAAAATATTTTAAACCCAAAAAACCGAAAATCTTCGGATATATTCGGTTTGGAAATTGAAAACCGAAAATACCCAATTTCCGAACCGAACTGAATTAAAATTCGGTTATTTTCGGATATATTGGGTCACAATATAGTTTAAACAACAAAATAAACAGTTTTAATACATCATTTTCTCAATCATCATAACACAAAAGATCAATCATTCTGAATCTACAACTCTTTACAATGAACACACATTGAAAGAGGCATAGATTCATTGAGATATATAGTTCAAAAAAAGATTGAGAACTGAAAGGAAAAACAAAACACCAACATCTGATCAGTCTCTCGAACTTGAACCTGCAACTTATACATAGCAAAAAAAATTATTTCAGAGAGACATCAAGACACAAAAGATATCAAAATTGCAAAGCAAGATAATTGAGATGGTGGACCAATCTTCACCACGTACTCATCGTACAACTGCTTCATCAGTGTCTTTATGGAGGTTCTGAGATGAGCACTTTCCACACTGTCCTTGCCATAAAGCTTATCAAAACAAATAGTTGCCAACAGCATCTTGTTTCTCAGATCAAAGATACTGGCAACAATGATAAGCGGATTCATGTTGAGCAGCCCATCCCAATACTTCTCAAATTTGGCCCTCATCTCTGTTGCTTGAATCCTTAGAAGGTCATCTCTGCTGTTGCTCAAAGCTATCAAGTTCCACTCAATGATCACGATCTCATTGTAGCAGCTAGAGGAGGTTACAGTCTTAGATGCTGAGAATGCCAAAGTGCTTCCAAAAAACAGCTTAAGAAACTTGACTAACCTGTGCACTTCATCCCATCCCTGAGAACATGGAGGCTCAACCCTTTTCTGTCCATCCTCTTCTGACTCTGAGAAGTACTCATTGTACAAAATGTCTTCTGCCAATAACTTCTCAAATGCATCTCGAAATTTCAATGCAGCCGACACCATCAGATATGTTGAGTTCCAGCGTGTAATACAATCGAGAGACAAGCTTCCTCTACTAACCTTTCCACTAAGTACTCGAAGCTGAAAGGACTGAAGCCGCGGACCAGATGATCTCACATACTTCACAGCATTCCTAATCGCCTTTACACTCTCTTTCACCTCAGCTAAACCGTCCCTGACAATCAAGTTCAATACATGCGCACAACAACGCATGTGTAACAAGGCACCATCCTTGATTAGCACATTAGGCCCTAGCTCTCTACAAGCTTCAGTAAACAGACGCAGTGCCTTGTCATTCCCTTTAGCATTATCCACTGTCACTGTGAAGACCTTCTCAATGCCCCAATCCGCTAGACACTGACTTAGATGCTCAGCAATAGTCTCTCTTTTGTGATCTGTCAGAGGCTTAAAACTGATGATTCTTTTCTGCATTTCCCAGTTTCTATCAATCCAGTGCGCTGTGACCACCATGTAGCTGTAGGATGTTGTAAGAGCGGTCCAAATGTCAGTGGTTAAAGAGAGTCTCTTCTTCTCAAAGCTAAACAACTGCTTCAGACTCGCTTTCTCCTTCAAAAACATGCCAAATATATCTTCTGTTGCTGTCTTCCTGTAGTGAACTGTGTACATGGGCAATACATTGTGACAGAACCTCCTAAAACCCTCTGACTCCACAAATGAAAATGGCAGCTCATTCAAGACTATCATCTAATTCACAGATCTCCTAAACAACCCAGCATCATACTTAACCGCAGTAACTACACCAGTGCTATTAGTTCCTAAATGCGGCTGACTACCACTTTCCTCAAATGCTTTGAACAACTTACAGCGTACAATATGATTTATCATTGCACTAGTCCCACTTCTTTTGGTGTCGCACCCGATCTCCTTACCACAGTAGCGACAATTGCACAGGCTCAGGTCCTCTTCTTTTTGAATGAAGTGTTGCCACACCAATGCCCTATGAGCTTGTCTTTTCTTTGGTAACAGAGGAAGGTCGTCAGTGCTTGATCTCGCAGTGGCTGATCTTTTCGTTCCTCGTGATTCAATTCCATCTACAAGTAACACATCATTGTCTTCACAACCTGACATCTGCAAAATAAAATGTTATAGATACAAGTTAATAACAAAGAAACTAAGACAGTAATCAAATCAAGCATAATTAAGACAGAAACTTTAATCTAAGACAAAAACTAAGGTGAACAAATACATCACAAGAACAAGAACTTTAAACTTTAAGAATTAAGAACCAATGTTAAAAAAAAACATTGTTAAAAAAAAAAAATTAAGCACCTAACCGATCAACATTACACAAGAAATTTAAACTTCAAAGTTTAAAACCCATCACAAGAACCAAATCGAACAACCATAAACGTTTTACCTTAAAACCCCAAATTGATTTCACCAAAACCCTAAATCGCAAATCCATCTCGAACCCTTAGCTAATAATCGATATACAACTCATTTATCACACAGATTCAGTGACAATAGACAACCCCTTCAACCCAAAGCCAAAACCCCAATTCGATTTTCACACGAACCCTAAAATCTAAATCGATTTCAAACCGGGACCAGACCTTAAAATTAACACAAAACAAGAGAAGGAGAAGGAAACCCTTACCTCGTGGTTACAAGGCTGGAAGAATCAGCAGAAGAAATCGAGTTAGATTGAGGATTCGACGAAGAAGAAGAGGCTCGGGTTTGGGAAAAGTTTATGCCGTTTAGGTTAGTGTAAAAATTAGGTTAGTGTTAAAATTAGGTTTAGAGTATATATATGCTAGGGTTATTTGCGGTTAACCGTTCGGAAATTGCTAACCGAACCGAACCGACCCGATAACCGAACCTAATTTAAATATCTGCCGAACGGTTTCTTCCTCCTAATGGAATACTAACCGAATTTCATAGTCCTCGGTTCGGTTCGGTTTGGTCCGATCGGTTCGGGTCGGAATCGCAGGCCTACACGTTACAATGTGTAATTTTTTTACAAAACATTTAAAAAAAAAATCAAAACTGTTTTCAAAAAGTTAAAATTTAACATTGTATAAAAAAGAAAATCAAAATTTTATCACGTTGGTTTAATTATAAATGTTTAGTAAGTGAAAAATAGTTTCTTGTTTCTTCTCTAACTATCATTATGACACGTTCAAAATTTCAGCATTTCTCAATTTAACTATTTCTTGACGACCTCCTCTATAACTGAGTAAAATTTATTTTGAACAAAACTTAAATTTATTTCCTATGATGAACTTTTAAATTCAATTCATCTCTAATAATCACACGTTGTGCCACATAGTTTAATAAATAAAAATTATTAAACATTTTTTAAAAGATCCAAAATAACTACAAAAAATAAAAATAACACTAATTTTAACAACGCTAACGCTAATAGCTAAACTCTAAATCCAAACCTTAACCATAAACCAAATCTATACTCTAAATCCAAACTCCCAAAAACCCAAATTTAGATCCTAAATCTGAATCTTATACCCTAAATCTAAACTATATACCCTAAAACTTAAATCCTAGACCCTAAACCCAAACTCTATACCCAAACCCAAACCCTAGATCTTAAATTCTAATCCATAAACTTTAGACCCTCGATCCTAAACCCAAACTTTAAACCTTGAATTCAAACCCTAGAGTCTACATCCAAGCTCTAGACCATAAACCATGGATCCAAACCGTAAACTTTAGACCCTCAATCCTAAACCCAAACTTTAAACCCTGAATTCAAACCCTAGAGTATAAATCCAAGCTCCAGACCATAAACCATGACCATAAACTATGAATCCAAACCGTAAATTCTAAATTCAAACTTTAAATCTTAACATTAAACTCTAAAGGAACAATATCAACATTAATCCAAATATTTAGGATATAAGATTTGGGTTTAGGATTTATAGTTTGGATTAGAATTTAAGGTATAGGGTTTGGGTTTATAGTTTCAGGATCTAAAGTTTATGTTTAGGATTTAGGGTCTAGGGATTAGAGTTTAGGGTCTAAGGTTTGGATTTAGGGTATAGAATTTGTTTTAGAGTTTAGGATTTAGGTTTTAAGGTATAGAGTTTGGATTTAGGATATATGATTTTGGTATAGGGTTTCGGTTTGAGTTTTAGGGTATAGAGTTTGAGTTTAAAATTTAGAGTTTAGAGTTTAGGGTTACGGTTTGGATTTAGGTGGCGGTGTTAGCGTCGTTAAAATTGACGTTATCTTTTTTTTTAAAGCTATTTTAGTATTTTTAAAAATATTTAATAATTTTTATTTATTAATGTATGTGATATAACGTGTAATTACTAGAAATGCGATGAATCTTCAGATTCACCCTATAAGATGAATCTTCAGATTCACCCCATAAGATGAACCTAAGTTTTGTTCATTTATTTTTGAAACAGAAATCTAAATGCCTAAATTTTCTCTTATCCTCAATAAAAATGATGGTATCATCTATAACTTCCAATCAGCCCATGATTTCAATAGGTTTGAACGTTTTTAATAAATTGCATGCAATAAAATTCATCTCTTTGATCAACTTCTTTCGCACTGGTTCTATATCTTCCTCATGCAAGTATGCTGCAACTGGAAAAGCTTTGCTCCAATCCTTAAAACTACTCTTACTTGGTCTTTTAGTATATCAAAAGAATCAGTCTATTTTTCTCAAAACAATGAACC